GCCTGAACTTCGAGAGGGGGTTGTCTAGGGTTTAGGGTTTAGGGTTTAGGGTTTAGGGTTTAGGGTTTAGGGTTTAGGGTTTAGGGTTTAGGGTTTAGGGTCCTGTTTCTTTGGGGGACTGAGGTTTTTAGGGTTTAGGAGTTATATAAGGCTTGAGAGGCACAAAAGTGCGCTTATTTGTTGGGGGGTTTTGGGTTCAGGGTCTAGGGTTTGAGGGGCTGAAAAGAGGTTGCTTCTTAAAGAGTTTAAGCGGGTGTTAACAGGCCTTAACAGGCTATAGGGTTTGGAAAGGGCTCGTTTTTGGGTACCGGCTGTTGGTATTCTGATGAGGAGGGTGCTCGCAATACCCTTCTCGCGATGCCCCTCAACCCTAAACTCTAAACCTGTTTGTGGGTTGGTAGTGTTGGGGCGGCAGGGGGCATAAACCCTAAACCCTAAACCCTAAACCCTAAACCCTAAATATATTTATTGCACGTAGTTGATCTTGTGGGAGACCGGGGCGCTAGGCAGGACGGGCGAACTTCCGAGCCCCTAACCTATTAGGGTTTAGGGTTTAGGGTTTGGGGTTTAGGGTTGAGGGTTTCGGGTTTAGGGTTTACCCTAAACCCTGAGCAAAGCCCTTGAACCCCCCCAAAGTGCCTCTACTCATGGCTTGAAGCAAAGGGCTTAGGCTAAACGGTTTAGGATTTAGTGTGTAGGCTTACAAGGCTCGGAGAATAAGGATCCCTGTAAGGTTTGACGTAAGGGGGTACTGGGCTTTTTTTGGGCAGGTTGAGGCAGCATGGGAACCCCTAGCTTAACCACACTGACAGTGCCAGGCAAATGCGCTGGTAAGGTAACCCAAGCCCCAAACCCAACACCCCAAACCCTGAACTAAAACCCTAACCCCGAAAACTCTAAACCCTACACCCCAAGCCCTTAACTCTGAGGTTTCCACAACGCTTCGACCTTCTGGTAGGGCGACATCGTCTGAAGAAAGCTCGAGGAGGGGGGAAGCAAAGGGCTCGAGTGCAGGGATGGGTTGAGGGTGTGGAGTCTAGGGTTGAACCCTTTTCTGTGTCAGAACCCTAAACCCTAAACCCTAAACCCTAAACCCTAAGCCCTAAACCGCAGTCTCAAGTTGAGGGTTTAGGGTTTTGGGGGGGCTTGGGATGTCTTGCGGGTGGTTTGGGTGTAGGGTTTGTCCTCAGGGGTTTAGGGTTTAGGGTTTAGGGTTTAGGGTTTAGGGTTTAGGGTTTAGGGTTTAGGGTTTGGGGGCTTCTATACTCCCCCTTAGACCCTTAACAAAAATAAGATTTCTAAGATCCTCTTGGGGTTTATGTGAACAAAAAACTAAATAATTCTCATGGGGGGGGGGGGTATAGACTTCTGCCCAGAGCCTCAAGCGACTCCACCTGCCTGAGTTTAGGGTTTCGGGCTAGTTGCAGCATGCTACTTAGGGACTGAGTTCTCTAGTGCGAACCAAAAAAGGGTCAGCTTGGGGTTTTAAGGGGGATTCGGCTTATCATGCCCCCTCAATGCTGCTCAGGCCATGGCATTCCTAAGCATGCACCCCAAACCCTGAACTCATCTGAACTCTCTGGCGCCTCCTACCAGCAAGGCCCTACGCCGAGCCCACACAACAACATTCAACGCAAGTGAGAGCCGCCTAAGACACTTTCTTGTGCCCTAAAACCGACACCCGAGTGAAACTTCAGGTTTATCGGTTTCAATGAACGTCGCAGGCGGCTTCATTGAGGGTCCTGGGAAGAAAGTTTGAGGGCTTTGGGGTTTGGAGGACCACAAAGCTCTGGAAGTTTCACGGCTCAGGGTGCCGAAAACCAGCACAAGGGCGCCTCATTCTTCAGGATGGGCAACACCGTGTCCACAAACTTGATGCCTGCGTTGAGGCGCGCGCTAGGGTCTTCAGAGCTTTGGAATTGTGGCAGGCGTGCGTTTCTTCGGCAGAAGAAACACAAAACGCCTGATGTAAGGAGTCTCACTTTGTCTTGTAAGGATCCGACTCTGAAGGTTCTAGGTCCTGGGTCAGCTGGGATTTCTGGAGCTCAGAAAACAGATCAACCGAGTGAGGACTACGTAAGGAGGCCCCCTATACACCCTAAACCCTGAGCAGAGAAAAACGGCCCCCAAATTACATAATCCCTGTTCCCCTAGGAAGAAAAAAGGATCCTTTTGTGTTCATATATAAGAAAGCCCATAACCCAAAAAGCAGAAAGGATCCCCAACGCTGATCTAGATTAGGTTTGATGAGGGCAAGGGCTCCCAAGGCTTTGGGTGTGTGTGGCTTGGGGTGGAGGGCCTCAAGCCTGCGCTGAGCACCCTAAGCCCTAAGCCCTAAGCCCTAAGCCCTAAGCCCTAAACCCTAAGCCCTAAACCCTAAACCCTAAACCCTAACCCTAAACCCTAGGGTTTGCCTGGGTTTGGGGGGTCATTTGGGCTTTGGGCGCTGGTGGAGAGTAGGCGAAGGGCTGGAGCTTACAGACATCCATCACTCAACGCCAGGCCCAAGCCCTCACCCCGATATATACTTGCGGGCCCCAAGGTCATGATATGGGAGGTACTTCAAGGCCCAAGCATATGCTTTTTTGGTACATGGACGCTTCGGATAACCTGCCAGGGCTTACGGTGGGCTTAGCGTTTTTCTATCAGGATACACGGTTTGGGGCTTCTAAACCCTACACCCTAAACCCGAAACCCTGAGAAATTAACCCGAAACCCTAAACCCTAAACCCTACCAGCCAAGACTGCAGCCCAGGCACCGTCCGGCACAGACAGCGCCTTCACAGCCTCCCGGCACAAGGGCCGGCTGGACCTGCATTCTTCTTTGTTTAAATGGGTTTAGGGTTTAGGGCTTAGGGTTTAGGAGTTTGGGAGCTTAGGGTTCAGGAGTCCAGGGTTCAGGGATTAGGAGTTTAGGGTTCAGGATTTAGGGTTTAGGACTCAGGATTTAGGGTTTAGGAGTTTAAGGGTTTAGTAGTTTAGGGTCCAGGGTTCAGGGTGAAAGCGAATGTATATATATATATATATATATAATATATATATATATATATATATATATATATTATGTATAACATATTATATGTATATATATATATATGTAAGTCTAGTCCCTTTGTCCCAGCAAGCCCGCAGTCCCCAAATATCCTGAACCTTGAAGCACAGCAAGCTTAACCCTACATGCTTGGGGCATCTCGAAGGCGGTTAGGGTTTAGGGTTTAGGGTTTAGGGTTTAGGGTTTAGGGTTTAGGGTTTAGGGTTTAGGGTTTAGGGTTTAGGGTTTAGGGTTTAGGGTTTAGGGTTTAGGGTTTAGGGTTGGAGGGTTAGAGGGGGGTTGAAGGGTTTAGGGTTAGAGGCTTTAGGGTTTAGGGATAAGCTGAGGACAGTCTGCAAACTACGACGCCTCCAACCCCCTGCAAAGCAAACACCCGAAGCCGCGGAGTTAGGGTTTAGGGCTTTAGGGTTTTAAATAACCTAAACCCATAGGTCCAGCTCCATCTACATACCGTCTATGTGGGCACATGGGTCCTTCAGCATAAGCAACCCCAAGACGAAGTCGGCAACGGAAAGTTCGAACAGGCCCGGTAAATATTATCTCCTTCCTCATCTCCCCCCATCGCCCTGTAGCGTTGCGGGCTTCGGGCCCCTTAAACCCTAAACCCTAAACCCTAGACCCCAAACCCTAAAACCAAAACCCTAAACCCTAAACCCCAAACCCCAAGCCCTAAACCCCAAGCCCTAAACTGTGGCCCCTGCTTGTTGGGGCCTTGGTGAAACAGAGATCAGAGAGAGATTGAGAGTTGGGGCAGGAAGCGAAGCAGTTTTCACTCCACACTCTCGGAACCCGCTGAGGGTTTAGGATTTAGGGTTTAGGGTTTAGGGTTTAGGGTTTAGGGTTTAGGGTTTAGGGATGAAGGTTTAGGGTTTCAGGTATGTACCTTCATAGCCCGATGGGCTTCGCATCCCTACTACTCGGGGGGGGTGGGGGGGGGGGCTGAAACCCTTATGCAAAGGGACTTCGGCGACTTCGCAGGGTAAGCTCGCGCAATCTGAGCTAAAGTCCTAAGCACTACACCCTAAACCGAGAGAGTTACAGGTAGGTAGGCCCTGTCCCTCGGCTGCAGCTTTGGGAGGAGCTTACGACCTCTTGCGCTCAGGGTGAAGAGGTTTCAGGGTCTGGTTTAGGGTTGGAGGGTGCAGGGCTCCGGGATGAGAGAGGCTTTTGGGTGTGGGGTTCTTAAGGTCTTGGGTTCCAAGGTATAAACCCTAAACCCTAAACCCTACACTCCAGGGTTCGCTTTCAGGGTTTCGGGGTGAAGAAGGGCTCGGGGGACTCTAGGAGGGCCGTGGATCAAAACGGCTGGGAGTTTGGGCTTGGAAGCTTGATCGGGTTTTAGGGTTTAGGGTTTAGGGTTTAGGGTGTAGGGCTTTAGGGTTTAGGGTTTAGGGTTTAGGGTTTAGGGTTTAGGGTTTAGGGTTTAGGGTTTAGGGGGATTTTAGGCGCTTTGCGGCTCAAGGGTGCAAAGTTTCAGGCTTTGGGATGCTTCAGGGCACGCTGCACACAACCAAGGCCTCCTTCGCGGAAGCAGCCCCAGAGAGAGGGAGGGAGAGAGGGAGAGACTAGTTGAGGGTTTAGGGTTTAGGGTTAGGGTTTAGGGTTTAGGGTTTAGGGTTTGGGGTTTGGGGTTTAGAATTTAGGGTTTAGGGTTCAGGGTTTAGGGTTTAGGGTTTCATAGTTGACATGAGCAGCCCCCCCCCCCCCCCCTCGAAGAAAGCTTGGCAGCTGGGGGGGTGTAGGGCTCAGACTTTCATGATGTTGAGCATTGATCGTACCCTAAACCCTAAACCCTAAACCCTAAACCGCACCTCCTGATGTTGAATACTACCTTCTACCTTCCCCTCAGACCTCTGCTCCACGGACTGCCAGGAAAGCCTACCAGCCCTAAACCCTTTTTTTACAACAGGCCTCGGTTCACAGCAGCCCGGTTCCAGCATCACGCTCACTACTGCAGAGCGAGCATTGACGCTGAGATCTCTCTGGATACTAGTTGAAAGGTGAAAATCTTACTATATTCTCTGAAGACTAAGTGATGAAGCTGCATAAGCTCAGAAGTGAAAGCCTCGAATATCCACTGCTCAAGAAAGAACTCGACATTGATGCCCGCAAACTCGAACTGTAGATACTGTAACCACAAGTGAAGGACATGCTGGACCTCACCAACACGAGTAAAACTCTGCATCCCCTCAACTTCATTCAACCATCCAACCGTCACCTGAAAAGATCCCGTCTCAGCATCAGTCAGAACGTGCAGGGACGCTCCTAAGCGCCACTCGGTCTGTACTCGCAGAGCATCTCTCCAGTGATGCAAATCACAACTGTGCACGATCGGGTGTTGCGGCTGGCATCCTAGCATGTCACCAGTATTCATATTGAACCAGGCCTCTTTGTTGCTAGCTCGATGTTGTAGTTCATCAAAGTTTGATGGTCCCCCCGTACTGTGTTGAAGTTGCTGTCTACCCCAGGAGAGAATATGTGACCACGGGCTCGGGACTGCAGCCTTGACCGAGTTCAGAGCCACGATTGCCTTACGGGTAATGTGCGACTGTGGTTGCCTTAGAGTGTGGCCAAGATACAACCACCTGCGCTTCAGCCAGATGCAACACCAGTCATGCTGGGGACACTGTGCCAGAACCAGCAGGGCGACTCGACGTCGGAGCCGGTGCAAGTGCATAGCGGCGTTGTGGTTGCACGAGCTGGGTATGTAGAGCCCAAGCATGAGTACGAAGATCGTGATTTGTAAAGTCCTAATGGCATTGAGGTATTGCTGGAGGGGTTCAAGCAACGGACTTAGCCAAAACCAAACACCACCCACATAGCAGTTGAGAAGACGCAGTACTCCTTTAGGATTAGTCCAACAGCCCTTGCGAATCGCCCTTTGCAGTTTCTCATACGCCATATGCGCTGCACCATGTATCGGCTGAAGCATGGCCTCCGTCGAATCTTTGTGAACATCCGCATCAAAGTGCATCAGGGGCTTCTTTAGGTACTTGACACTGCGTTCCCAGGCTAGTTGTGGCACCACCGAACCCTCCCGAAAATTGTACGACTTGCCCAAACGAAGAACATTGGGATGCGACATAACGACAGTTTTTCGCAGATTTAATCGAAGCCCAAGATCATGTAGCACAGAGCACAAGTCGGCAAAGCATCGGTCGCACTGCTCCCAACTGACGAAGTTAAACATCATATCGTCTACATAAGCCCAGCCGTACGAATCATGCCAGCAGGGTTCCTTCCGATGCGCCCACGTCTCATCCAGCTGACTGACCGCAAGGCCCAAGACGTAACTAAACAGCAACGCTGAATGTGAACCACCCTGTTGCACTCCTGTCGACTGGCCTTGCGACCAACTCTCTCCCCTCCAAACAAAGTGCAGGTTGGGCCCCATGACTAACTGCAAAAGTCGATGCGCTTCGGCACCCAGGGTATCAGGACTGAAGGCAGCTACAAAGGCCGCGACCTTAGACTGGGATACAGAGTCGAACGCCGCTTGCACGTCGCAGCTGATCCAAACCCCGTATGTGTGCTCCCGACTCTCTTTCGCGACCCTTGAGTGTGCACATAGCAAAGCGTCCGCAACCTGCGAGCCGGCAAGGCCCCCGAGCTGCAACCCAGGTTTCGGCCAGTGCTGTTGCAGGCGGGAGATCAAAAGCCATGCGAAGACCTTATGAAGTACTTCGAGCAAATTGATCGGCCGAAGATCCTTGCATTCAAGTATGTAGTGAGTCTTAGGGATGAGGCAGACATATGCCTGAAGTAGATCGGGCGGAAGATCTTGGGACGTCAACAGGTTATTGAGGTGACATAAAAGCATGGCTTGACCATCCTCGTTGCGCCAAACTGCAAGCAAAAACTCATTGCTGATACCAGACATACCTGAAACCTTGCCTCGCTTCAGGCGGTCCAGAGCTGGCTGCACTTCAGCTGCGGTGAAAGGTTCTGGCGGGCACTGAGCTTCACGTTCGAGAAGAGTTTGCAAGGATCCCTTCAACGACTCCCTTTCAAGCGGAGTGGGCTCATTCCCAAACAGTCTTGAGTAGTGCTGTTTTACATTGTCGATGGACGCCTGTTCGCCACCGCTCTTCGCAACAAAGTCCTCAGTGTTAGGGGGCATCTGAGAACCACGATGCTTGAGGTACCTTATAGCCGAAGGATCTCCTTGCTCACTCTTGTCGTAGAGGTCTTGCATCCACCTACGCCTGGCTTCATGCCTAGCAGCAATGATGACCCTGGTAACCCGAGCCCTCTCCAAAGGATCACTGGCCAATCGTCTTTCTTGACGTAACTGTTTAATACCAGGAGGATCCCTGTACTTGAGGCTGGGGCTTGCAAAGGAGTGTTGGTTTGAGAGTCTCGACAGAGTCTCCCATTGCTGCACCAAGGTCTGCTGAGCAAAGGTGGCCGATGCTCCCTGAAGCTCAGCATGCAAAGGCTCGTGCGCTACACTGTGTCTGCGGCACTTAAAACGCCGATATCGCTTCCGCTTCGCCCTCCTGATGGGGTGAGTTGGATCTTTGAGAGCAAGCTCCAAGCAAACACAGTCATGATCACTACCAAGAGCTAGGTGCGAATGTTTGATAGTAGCAACCTGAACTGAGGCCGCTTGGGGTACGAGGATGTCATTCATGGATCTGTTCACCATGAAGAAGTCCAATTCTGCCTCTGAGCACCTCCCAAAACGCGTCGGCTGAAAACTCTGAAGGATGCGACCGGACACAGTCGAGGACAGTTGGATGCCACGAATACTTGAGGTCTCAGCATTGAAGTCACCCATGATTACACAAGGGATATTTTGACTGTCCATGCGTCTCTGTAGTTCTTGTATCTCCCTAAGGGAGGCCTGAAAAACTTCGTCTGAATTATCGCGATGGGGTAGGTGGCAACCAACCAAGCTCAAACGTCTCATCGAGCCCGCGCAAACGATATCCACACCCAAAAGTCTATCTCCCTTCCAGCAGCCACTGATGTGATCAACACAGTCTTTGCTAACAAGGATCACTTGACTCAGGTGTGAAGAAAGCTCACTGCACGAAAAGACGTGATAGTCATGGATATCGTTGCACTCATGCATCGTGATCTGTGCAATGCCATCACCATAGTTCTGTACAACTGGAAGCGCGGAGACACCACCCACCTCTTGCAAGGTAATCATGTCAAGGCACTCCCCTGACTCCTCCATCCAGGCCAGGAAGCTTTCGAGGTTTTTCCCTTGTATGTTCCAGCAAGCAAACTTTATGAATTCAGGTTTTCCATAGCCAGGATCGAGGTTTCGGGTTCAGGGAATGGCACGAATTGCGGTCTCGACTTCACCCACCGACTTAGCACACTTGGAGGCCAGCAGTGTCGCATTGAAGAAGAACTGAGATTGCTCCCTGTATGCGTCCACGAACTGCTTCGGCATCACTCTGTCACCCGTATTGGCTAGTAGCTGGTTCTGGGTGCCTGCTGCGACCCTCTCCTTTCCCCACCAAAGGAGCTGGCGGCCCCAGTCAACTTCAAGCTGGGAGTCTGGAGCATCGCAACTCAGCCCACTCACCGCCTCCACAACTTCCCTTGCCATTCTAGTGCTTCTATTCTTTGTCCGAAGAGATTTAGAGCGATGAGGTGAAAAGTAAAGAAAATCTCCAGTGCTGGTCCTAGTCTTGTTGCTGTAAGACTGCTGAATGGCATAGAAGCGATCTCGGGACAGGTCATAGGGGAGCGAGGACAAGATGATGTTGGCAGTCTTGGAGCGCTTCCCAAACACATACGTCTTTGTGATTTGGGACTGATACTGCTGATCCCAAAGCGCAAGTGCCTCCGAAAGGTCTCTCTCGATTTCTGCTCGCGGTGTGTCGGTCGCCCAGCCACCGGCCAAGACGCGATTGAAATCTGTGTCTTGACCAGCGCTGGGAGAGCCACCACCATCGCTGCCCTTGCCAGACTCGCCTCCCGAGCCCGGGCGGGACAGGTACTTGCTCCAAGGGTCAGCTGAAGACGTGGGAAGATGCGGTCCTGAGGCTCCCTGAAAGGTCGTGGTAGTCAAGGGTCTCTGCCAAGGATCTGATGGGGGAGGTACTGCTCTGAAGTCAGACCCTGACGGAAACTTCGACTGGTTGCTAAGCTTAGTCTCCATGTCATCCAACCGCTTGTTGATTGCAGCCATGTCAGACTTTCGCTCGCTCGATTCCAGGGCCAGCTCATCATGTAGCATGTTAACCCTCTCATTGAAGCTGCCAAGATGACCAGAGAGCTGGGTAGAGATGACTGTAGCCATCTCACTTGTCAGTGACAGCTTGAGACCCTGAACCCAAGCCGGTTCCGAACCCCCCTTCACCTTCAGTTAGGGCAAGATCACGACCACGCTTTCTGCAAGGCCCCTCCAAGTCCACATCTGAGCCTCCGAGTTCAAGCCCTTCGTCAGCGTTCTCGGGGGGGTGAAGACCCTGCATGGCGGCTTCCTCCATGAGCCCTCAAGACCTAAAGGCAAACCTCAACCCTTCAGGGGCCAGAGCCGAAACCTTGAGCCAAAACCCTAAACCCTAAACCCCTAACCGCCCCAAACCTCAAAACCAGCCAGTCTTGGGCACCCTGGCTGTCCATAAGCATGCCGGGTGTGAAGCCTTGCTCGTCCATCACCTCCCATCACGTCGCGGGTTGTAGGCATCATTTCCCAAGACCTATGGGTTTAGGGTTTAGGGTTTAGGGTTCAGGGTCTTCGGCAAGCTAATAAGATTAGGGTTTAGGGTTTGGGGTTGAGTTCTTTCAGGGTTTAGGGCTTAAAAACAACCTTGGACCTATGCACGAATTCAACCCCACACCCTGCGTGACGCATTGGGCAAGGGGAGCAAGGCGGTCGCTAGACTCGCCAGCGCCCGGGAAAGTTACAATGCACTCTCCTTACCCAGGGGAGCCACGCTCGCAAAGCTGCCATTGCAGAATGCTCCTGTGCAACTCTAAACCCTAAACCCTAAACCCTTAACCCTAAACCCTAAGCTTACCTCTTGTCAATGCAGAACAAGACGTGGCCTTTTTCCACTCATCTCGGTACGCTCGCAACTTAAAAGAAGCCAGGCAGATCTGCTGGCACTCTAGATAAGGCCTCGGGCACAGGATAGACTTGTGAACATGCTTAGGCTGGCCTTTCTTGAAAGGAAATCTTAGCTAGGACTATAGGGTCTAAGGTTTATGAGAGGGTGCAAGAAGCTATGGTCCACAAGGTCTTCGGCCCTAAGACGATGGATCCGCGTGCCCAGGCCATGAGCTGACCGAATCACTTTCCTACCAAAATCGCGGCTCATCAAAACCTTACCTACAGACCCCGGAGTCGCTAGTTTCATGTGCACAGATGAAGAAAGGATAGATGTCTACCGGTCTATCTATATACCTACGCACATGTAGATTATATATATATATATATTATATTATATATATATATATGCATAAGCATATGTATACATATGTATACATATGTATATGTATATGCTGCAGATATACAGCACACATACACACATAGACACACACACACACATACGTGCATGCAGGCATACATGCATACATACACGCATGTATACCTACATGCATGCATGCATGGTTACATGTGCATATAGTTGTATAGTTTTGCTTTTCGTCTACATGTATACCGTCAATATCCTTCAATTATGCATCGCAGATTCTTTGCCTGTGGGGGTCTATGTGGTAGCTACTTTGGGGCCCAAATAGATATTCCCTACAGCCGAGAAGTAACTGAATGCTTCGGCAAAGCTTCCCAAAGTGGAAGACTAGGGTTTTGGAGTTTGCAGTTTAGGGTTTAGGGGCCCGAAAGTCTTCAAGACGGACTCTGGTTTTGACGAGCTCCGATGTTTCGGCGTTAACGACCGCGCGCTTTGGCCTGTTGACCTTAGCAAGGTCTTTAGGGCTTCAGGTTTGAGACAGGAAGCGGACTTCGCATGGTGGAGCGCAGACGACCCATCTCCCTTCCAGCAACTCTGGAAGCCCCCTTTTTGCTGCATGGCCCTAACCCCGCTTTGTTTTTGTTGCCGTTAAACCCCTAAAGCAAACCCACGTAGTCCCCCCCATCCCCAACCACAAGTAAGCAAAGCAGCCAGCTTTCTGCTCCAGCAGCCAACTCTGGAAGTTTGCGCGGTCCTCGACGCTGAGCTTCGCCAGTCGCTCCTTTCCTTTGCAGCTTGAGTCAGCTTGAGTCAGAAAGGGGTTTGACGATATTGGGGGGTACCTTATTGGGGTCCTTATCATGAGGGAATCCTACTATTTAGGGTCCATTTTCGGGGTGCACTATTTTCGCAACTCCTCTCAGAAGCTCTGGGTTGAGATTTGAGCAACTGAGCGCGACTGCACTGCGAACCAGCACAGCAGGTATAGGGTTTACGGTCTATGAGGTTTAGGGTTGCTACCCTGTTTTGGGTTGCTTACATAATCAGGGCTCTTCAAAGATTTTGTCTTGCAATCTGACCTTAACATCCCACAACCTACTTTTTATAAACTCCCTTGTAGGATTCTTGGGTAGCCTGACAAAAAGTAGATATTGGTCTAGGTCTTCCCATGGGTGGGCCCAAAACCTGTCCCAAATCTGGATCCCTGAGCAATCTGGAAATCAAATGGCTTAGGTTTTGTTGAAAGGGTTATGCACGGGAACGCAGGCCGAACAAAACAAAAGGGAAACGCAGGGTTCTAGGAGGTTCTCAGAGCCCTGTACGTCCACACTATGGCCTCGATTTTGGCGTAGCCAAGTTAACCTAAAAATGAAAGCTGAGGAACCCTTTTGCATCAGGCTTGCGTAGTCACTACACCCTAAACTAGTTCACCAGTAACCAAAAGGGCGCCCTTTTTTGCTTAACGATGGGCTGATGATGCTTGGGTAAGAACGGTAAGCGAACTACTGAGCATCCGCATCAATAACCTACACATAAGAAAGGGGGCCTAACTAACTTAGGGTTTAGTAAACCCCGCACCCTACACCCTAAACCCTAAACCCTAAACCCTAAACCCTAAACCCTTTGGGCAACAAGCTTGAGGCTGCCTGGCTCGGAGTCCTGAATGCCCAGCGCAAGACACACCCCGACACACCAGCTTGCACGTGTGACAAGGGATGTGCTCCCCAAACCCTAAACCCTAAACCCTAAACCCTAAACCCTAAACCCTAAACCCTAAACCCTAAACCCTAAACCCTAAACCCTAAACCCTTTGGGCAACAAGCTTGAGGCTGCCTGGCTCGGAGTCCTGAATGCCCAGCGCAAGACACACCCCGACACACCAGCTTGCACGTGTGACAAGGGATGTGCTCCCCAAACCCTAAACCCTAAACCCTAAACCCTAAACCCTAAACCCTAAACCCTAAACCCTAAACCAAGCTATGAATTGCCCACTTCGGCCCCAAGCGCTGGCGAAGCCCTGGAGCCTCGAAAGTTCACTGGCCAGGGCCTGGAGAGCTGTCGCGGTTTCAGGTTTAGGGGTTCAAAATTTAGGGGTTTAGGGTCTAGGGCTAGGGTTTAGGGTTTAGGGGTTGAGGGGTTTAGGGGTTCAGGGGTTTAGAGGGGTTCAGGGGTTTAGGGGTTCAGGAGTTTGGGGTTTAAGGCTAGGGTTTAGGGAGACCCAGGGTTTAGGCTTCCAAAACAGGGTTCGAGTTGGTACGCTTCTCGATTTAGGGTCATGGGCCATGGGGTTATACAGGGTGGGGCCCCCTAGTTATAAGTAGAGTTATAAGGGCCCTAAATTGGGTTATAAGGACCCTAAGTTAGGTTATAAGTCCCTTAACTACAGTTAGTATAGTAAGGGGGCCCCACCCTGTAGGTTAAAGGGTTGTAGGGTTTAGGGTTTAGGGCTCAGAGTTTAGGGTTTGGGGCTTAGGGTATGAGGTTTTAAGGCTCTGGTCTTAGGAGGGTATGTACAGCACCTGAAAGGATTTTAGGGGTACCTGAATATGCCTTAAAAGATCCTTCTTGTTGGGCTTAGGCACACTAATAAATATGGTGGGGCAGAATGCAGAGATTGTCGAAGAGCAACTCTAGACCGTAAAGCCACCCTCGTGAGCATCCAGTGTTCTACTACCGCAACCTCCCCACTTGCCAGGTTGCCCAAGGAATGAAATGGGTGCCCTCGTTTGCCTACCCTAAACCCTAAACCCTAATCCCTAACCCCGAACCACTAAACCCCAACCCCTTAGAGGGGCTTGTAAAGCCC